CATCACTCTTCGTATTTGTGGACTGTCCCTTTGCTTTTGCCTCAGTCCTGTCTTGTCTTCTCTGCAGCTTTTATACCCTCATGTACTGCCTCCTTACCTTCATCTTCACACTTTCTTTCCTAGGTCTTTCCCCTCAACTCTTAAACATGCTTACATTTCTCCTATCTTAAAGAAGAAAGTCTTCCCTGTCTAGGTTTGACTTTTTTTTTTTAAGTTTCTAATTTTTCCTGTTAAAACATAATTTGGAAACTTGGAAATTTTTGTACAATATTACAAACTAGGGGAATGGGACACCTGGGTGGCTCATTCGGTTAAGTGTCTGACTTCAGCTCAGGTCGTGATCCCAGGGTTCTGGGATCGAGTCCTGCATCAGGCTCCTTGCTCAGCAGGGAGCCTGCTTCTCCCTCTGCTTGCAGCTCCCCCCGCTTGTGCGTGCATGCACGCTCTCTCTGACAAATAAAATCTTAAAAAATAAATTAATTAAAACAAATGTTTCTAAGCTTCACTTTGTCACTAGGATGACAGAGAATACAGAAAGGATCTGTTCTTCAGAGGACTAACCTACTTTCTAAGCACCTTTGGTAAGTGATGGATTAGGGACTGCAGTCCAGGTTTCTTTATTCCTTCTCCAGTGCCATTGAGTTGAAGGTGATAGCCACACATCAACATGGAGACATCTCCTATGGATAGTGAAACTAGGGAATTGCAGATGTGGATTTGAAAGATCTCTGGAGACAGCTGAAGTAAAAAGGCTAGCAAATGGGGTGGCTACAGAGAAAGGAACAGAGCCTTGATGTGTTTGGAGGGGCAGGTGGAGTAGTTCTCAGAGACAAAGGAAGAGACCTAGGAAAGACAGAGGGAGAAAAGAGGCTAATGAAGGAGGAATACAAGCATTGGTCCACAAAAATGTTTGAGAAATCTAGAAAGCATGGCTGACTGGAGCAAGGGGAGGGGGAGTGTAAGTGTGTTCTTTTTTTTTTTTAATTCAATTTAATACATAGTATATTATTAGTTTCAGAGGTAATTTAGTGACTCATCACTTGCATATAACACCCAGTGCTCATTACATCAAGTGCCCTTCTCAGTGCCCATCACCCAGTTACTCCATCCCCACCCCCCCCACCTCCCCTCCAGCTACCCTTAGTTTGTTTCCTATAGTTAAGAGTCTCTTTGTGTGTTCTGTGTGTGTTGTGTGTCTAAGAGAAACTGAGTGGAAGCAGAGTTGAGTCTGTAGAGGAAGAGAAGAAATGGATCATAACTGCTAAAGTTGTATGTTATGCTGTAAAGGTACGGCTAGCAGAGCACAGTCCTTAGGGAGTAGGAAGAGACACCTGGTCCAGTCTGTTAGGTTAGTTATTGATTCAGAGGAGAGACTCCCTTCTAAGGGAGAATGTTAGGTAAAGGGATCCACTGCTTGAGGGGATGCTTTTGAGTTTTCTAAGCAGTGTAAGGGAGAGGTGGGTGCCTTGCTACTTTGTATCTGATTTTTCTCTGTAAAAGCTGTGAAGCTGCTGCTTTAAGACTCTGAGTAGAGGCTGATGTTCAGGAACCCTATGCCATGTGTTTTTTTCACAGTGAGAGAATACTCTGTCAGCTCAGCTCCCTGGCAACACAATTGGTTTCAATTTGTACTCCTTGTACCATTTCTTTTTCTACCTGGTTTATAATTCCAGTGATTTCTTTTAGGTTAGACTTGGTTATTTACAAGCAAGTATTTACAAATTATTTATATTTAAAAGTTCTCAAAATCAAGGCAGAGAAGAGATGGATTTTTTTTGTGTTCTTCAAATTGTTGTATGCCTCACAACCCAGCAGAGCTCAGAAATTAAATGTTTTTCCTCCACCAGTTTTACATTTCAGTATATCTAAATAGCTTGGGATTATGTAGTGATTCTCTGGCAGGGTCAGCATTAGCATTTATGGCTTATGAATTTTTTGTTCTTTGTGCTTTGTTTTTTTTCCCCAAGAATGTCACCAAAGGTAGATGGACTTTTTGTCTGTTCCCTAACTCCAGCATTTGGAATTACCCATCCTTGTTGGGATACTAATTTGGGGACCTTCCTGGCCTGAAAACGCTTTTAAAAAATCTGTGAAGAGCAATGGTATAAAGTAGTACTTCTCAAACTTTAGTGTAGGAAACCACTTGGAGATCTATTAAATTGCAAATTCTGATTCTGTGGGTCAAGAGGAGAGCCTGAAGAGGTGCCTAGCTGGCTCATTTGGAAGAGTGTGTGACTCTTGATCTCAGGGTTGTGAGTTTGAGCCCCATGTTGTGTGTAGAGATTACTTAAATAAATAAGGAACTTAAAAAAAAAAAAAGAATTGCTTAAGAAAAAAGAATAGAGCCTGAAGTCTGTGCTTCTTACAAGTTCCATGGTTATGCCATTGCTGCTGGTCCTTGGACCATGCTTCGAGTAACGAACATATAAAGCAGTGCTGTCCCAACACAGTAGCTCCAGCCACATGGGACTGTTGAGAATTTAGTGTGACTAGTTCACACTGGTTATGTAGAGTTCTCCAAACCTACCTACTTTTACCTTGAACATTGTACCTGTTCTGTCCCTTAAGTTAGATAGTAACTCCTTAGGGGCACCTGGCTGGCTCAGTCAGAAGAGCATGTGACTCTTGATCTTGGGGTTGTGAGTTCGAGCCCCACATTGGGTATAGAGATTACTTAAATAAACTTTTAAAAATAAGTAAATAAATAAAATAGATAGTAACTCCTTGAATGCAGGACCAGGTCTCACCCATCCCTCTGTAGTCTTTTTACTGCCTTGTAGGTGGTTCTGAGTGCCAACATGTGTACAGTGTTAAGGTGCCCAGACAGAGAATTGGAGAAATGTGTCTCTCATAGAAGTAGCAAAATATTTGTGTAAGGCTAGGGCAAGAATAGAAAACACTTTAATTTTGAATTAATCTTGTATATACTTAAGTTAAATTATTTTGTGAATTAGATGATTGTTCAGACCCATTTTACTGTTAGGTATCTAGGTACTTTGGGTACCCACAAGATTTAAGAGCCAGAAACTATGAATTGGCCCTTTTTTCTTTTCCTGTTTTTTTAATATGTTCAGTTAGCAGTTGAGTATCTACCAACCTGGGCATAGTGCTGAGGAGCAAAAATGACTTGTTATACATGGTCCCTGTCCTCAAGGAATTCATGATCTCACAGAGGAGAGATGCATGAATGTCAAGTTGATGGTATAACACAGGAGGTAGTGTGGTGTGGTAGCCACAATCAGGACCATTGAAGTCTGAATCCAAGGTCTGATTCTGGCTCCAAAAAAACAGGGTGAGAAAACACTGACAGGATATTTTCTAAGGTAGAATTTAGCTAAAAATAGCAAGGCCCTCTGCCAGTGTTTTTATTAATAGATACGGGAAATGTAAAGGATTTAAACTAGTTTTGTTAATAATTCTTTAATATCATCAAATATCCAGAACTGGGGGAAAAAAACCAGAGTTGAATCTAATTGTCTCATGTCCTATTTTTTTAAATCATTTGTTGGTTTGAATCAGGATCCAAAAAGATCCATATGTTGTGATTGCTGTATTTCTTTATTTTTTTTTTGTAAGATTTTATTTATTTATATGACACAGAGAGAGAGCGAGCACAAGCAGGGGGAGCGGCAGGGAGAGGGAGAAGCAGGCTCCCCACTGAAAGGAGCCTGATACGGGCTCAATCCCAGGACCCTGGGATCATGACCTGAGCCGAAGGCAGACACTAAACCAACTGAGCCACCCAGGCGCCCCTGCTGTATTCTTTTAAAGATTTATTTATTGGAGAGAGGGAGCACGTGTGCACACGTGCGAGTAAGGGGAGGGGCAGAAGGATACGGAGTCTCCAGCAGACTCCCCACTGAGTGCAGAGCCCTACACCCTGGCTTGATCCCAGGACCCTGAGATCACAACCTGAGTTGAAATCAAGAGCTCAGCTGACTGAGCCACCCAGGTGCTACCGTACTGTATTTCTTACATCTCTTTTGTCTATCAGGGTTTCTCAGCCTCAGCACTATTGATGTTTGCAGACCAATAATTCTTTGTTGTGGAGGACTGAACCTGTGCATAGCAGGATATTTAGTGACCTCTTTGGCCTCTACCCACTAGATGCTAGGAGCACACCCGCTCCGGTAGTGACAACCAGAAATGTCACAGGCCTTGCCAAATGCCCCCTGGAGGCAAAGTCACCAGGTTGAGAACCATTGATACGTACATTCTCCCTCTATTCTTTCCATTTTTTGTCTTGGTGATTTATTTGCAGAAGAAACTGGGTAGTTAATCCTGCAGAGTTGCCTTCAGTCTGGATTACTCTGATTTCATCCTGGTATTGTAATTTAACATACTCTCTCACCAGGGCGTCTCGGTGGCTCAGTCTGTTAAGCATCTGACTTTGGCTCAGGTCATGATCTCGGGGTTCCTGGAATCAAGCCTTTCATCAGGCTCTTTGCTCAGCAGGGAGTCTGCTTCTTCCTCTCCCTTCCCCCTGCTCGTATGCACATGCTCTTTCTCTCAAATAATCATTTATTTATTTATTTTTAAAGATGTTATTTATCCATTTGTCAGAGAGAGAGAGCACAAGCAGGGGGAGCGGCAGGGAGAGGGAGAAGCAGGCTCCCCGCTGAGCAGGGAGCCCGATGCGGGACTCAATCCCAGGACACCGAGATCATGACCTGAGCCGAAGGCAGATGCCTAACCATCTGAGCCACCCAGGCATCCCAATAATCTTTTAAAAAGAAACATATTCTGTCACCAATTTCCTGTTAATTAGTGGTTGGCTCTAGAGACTTGATTAGTTTCAGATTTTTTGTTTTGTTGAACTGCTTCATAGGTGGTAGTTTGTTCCTCCATCAGGAGGTACATAATATCTGTTGTGCCTTTTTGAATTTTAACCATTTATTTCCTAATTCATTTTTCATTTTTCTTTTAAAATGTATGTATTTTCATTTAGACAAGCTTTATTTTAAATAACCATCTGTGGAATGAATGAATGAATGAATAAATAACAATCTGTGTTCTCCCTTAATAAAGGAAGGGGAAATGGAAGGTGAGGCGGTTGAAGCCATTGTGGAAGAGTCTGAAACTTTCATTAAAGGAAAGGAAAGAAAGACTTACCAGAGACGCCGGGAAGGGGGCCAGGAAGAGGACACTTGTCACCTGCCCCAGAACCAGACTGATGGGGGTGAGGTGGTCCAGGATGTCAATAGCAGTGTACAGATGGTAATGATGGAACAACTGGATCCCACCCTTCTTCAGATGAAGACTGAAGTAATGGAGGGTACAGTCGCTCCAGAAGCAGAGGCTGCTGTGGACGATACCCAGATCATAACCTTGCAGGTTGTAAATATGGAGGAACAGCCCATAAACATAGGAGAGCTTCAGCTTGTCCAAGTACCCGTTCCCGTGACTGTACCTGTTGCCACTACTTCGGTAGAAGAACTTCAGGGGGCTTATGAGAATGAAGTGTCTAAAGAGGGCCTTGCAGAAAGTGAACCCATGATATGTCACACCTTACCTTTGCCTGAAGGGTTTCAAGTGGTGAAAGTAGGGGCCAATGGAGAGGTGGAGACGCTAGAGCAAGGGGAACTTCCGCCTCAAGAAGATCCTAGTTGGCAAAAAGACCCAGATTATCAGCCGCCAGCCAAAAAAACAAAGAAAACCAAAAAGAGCAAACTGCGTTACACAGAGGAGGGCAAAGATGTGGATGTGTCTGTCTACGATTTTGAGGAAGAGCAGCAGGAGGGTCTGCTATCGGAGGTTAATGCAGAGAAAGTGGTTGGTAACATGAAGCCTCCAAAACCAACAAAAATTAAAAAGAAAGGTAAAATGAGTTTATCCACTGTATTCTCATAAACTGATTTTGGGATAAAGCAAATAACCCAGGGTATATGCAAATTATTTTATAATAAATGGGTTTTTTTGTGTTTTTTTTGTTGTTGTTTTTTAAGATCATGAGCTAGGTACCAGTCCTTTTAGCTAGTCTAAAAGTTTTTCCAAATTCAGTATTTTTTAAGTCCTGAAGACAAAGAAAGAAATCTGTTAGTGGCATGAAATAATAACGATTTAATATGACTTAGATTGGATTTAGTTTAAAAAGGCTAATGAAATTTATTTGTAGATATTTAACGTTAGGATTAAACTTAATACTTTGAAACCTTGCAAGAAGTTAAGTGTTTTGTTTTTCATATAGGTGTAAAGAAGACATTCCAGTGTGAGCTTTGCAGTTACACATGTCCGCGGCGTTCAAATTTGGATCGTCACATGAAAAGTCACACTGATGAGAGACCACACAAGTGCCATCTCTGTGGCAGGGCGTTTAGAACAGTGACCCTCCTGAGGAATCACCTTAACACACACACAGGTGCTGGATATGAATGTTGGGGGCTACAGCATAGCAAAGGTTAAAACTTGGGTTTTAAGTATCATCCAAGGTGGTTCTGGTGGGAAGTTAAAGAAGAAGATTTTTGTTCTTTCTTATGCTGTAATCCTGATTTATTATAAGCAGATGAATTTGTAGGCAAATGTAAAGAAAATTTAGTGGAAAATAATCCAAACTGTTTAAGTCTGGTGATCCAGGAAAAAATGATCTATGGCGGTTAACCTGTAATATTTCCTAAAGGATATCACCATTGCATTGCCAAGGTTTTAACATCAGTGACAAAAAATGATGCCCGAAATTCCCGGGCAACAATTGCCAGGCACTATAAGGATGAACATTAGAAATAGCAACGCAATTCTTTGTAAAAGCCATGGTTTCTGGTTGTTTCACTTCAACAAAGGTAAGTAATTCATAATCTCAGAATGGAAAGTTTAAGGCGTTACTCTAGCAATTCAGAAACTTACTCATTTGTGCTCCATACATTAATTTTTTTTTTTTTTTAAGATTTTGTTTATTTATTTGACAGCGCACAAACAGGGGAAGCAGCAGGCAGGAGAGAGGGAGAAGCAGGCTCCCCGCTGAGCAGGGAGCCCAATGTGGGGCTCGATCCCAGGACCCTGCCATCATGACCTGAGCCAAAGGCAGTCGCTTAACCGACTGAGCCACCCAGGCACCCCCATACTTTAATATTCTGTGTTAGCATCATGTTGGCTATGATCAGGTCCCAGGAGTCACTAAAGTGGAGGGACTGTGCAGGAGCTCTCTTAAGGCTCTCTTCTGGGCTCTTTGTTCTTTCAGTATTGGCATTTGGCTATGAGTGCCGATAGAAACTTCTCTCACACGGTTCTTCATGCAGAGTAGCTTTCCTCTATCCAGATTCTCCACTTAGCACAGCTCTTGTTTTTGATTTGATGTGCTGGTAGTCTACTGAGCACGACCAAGTTGAGTTTGGCCTGTAAGCAATATGTTGCGCATTAGTATATTCTTTGCTAATATGATCTGGTCACTTTTCATTATTTCCCTGCTTTCTACTCAAGACACTTGATAGTATGTTTTATTTGGTAGTTTGAAGACACTGTGAAAGGGCATATGACTAGATAAGAGCATTTGGCCACATAATAGGACTTCCTAAAATGGGAGTGGTTGATGTGGGCACTGTATGTCATGGTCTAGTCCTCAGCTTTGAAAATAAGAGTGTGGTCTGTCTAGTCGCTCAGAGCTAATTTGGCAGGACTGATTCATACTAATCAAACCCTCAAGGGTCAGATGCAATCAGAAAGAGTTTATGGTGAGGAATACACCTTTTCGTTTTCTGGATGCAGTTGTATTGCATTCTAGGGGATACCCTTGCCTATATCAAGAAGATGTAGCAATTGAATGGTGACTTGGTAAGCATGGATCTGAGCAGAGGGACATACGCAATCATGTGGTACAACCCAATGAAAATCTCTGTTGTACAGCAATGTCTGCTGCTTTCCTAATTGCCATGCTTATGTCTACCAGTAGCAGGCCTCTTTCTGTCTCCTAGATAGTACTAGGTAAACATTAGAAATCCTTGGTTTTCAGTTCACTTTATCCTAACGGAAATGGATCCTGCTTTCTTTCTTGTTAATTGTTTCACTTACCGATCTGTGCTGCCAGATTCTTTTTCATAGACAAGAACTCTGTCCTTCACTCCTACATCCCCAGTGATAATAAAGAAGCAAACTGAGCAAATGAACATTCCTTGAAATTTCTTAGTTACTATCATACTTTAATCACACTTCCCTCTTGAGGATTCTGTCCATCTCAGAATCATTTCTGCAGATGGCTGGTCCCATTCATTACATTGTGACTCTTTCTAATTCCGTTCTCAGAGGTAAACGGTAACCTTCCTTTGATTTTGGTGTTCGGGATTACTTTGTTGTCATCCCTTACCTGCAGTGCGCAATTACAGATGGTCCCTAGTTTTTCAGTAATGGTCTATGAAAACAGCACTGTGTTCTGCTGTCAGCTTATCTCCTTATTGTCATCATTACCTGGGCATACTTCCAATGCTATATTTAGAATATAAAGTGACTAGAGAAGATCCATTAATATAATCAGTCAGTTATGTTATAGGGCTACTATGTGAGGGCATACTAAAAACAGATTCCTTCAGTAAAAGGGAAAAAGAAAAACGTGGAGTATATTAGTTTGTAAGAATGTTTAAATATTTCATGAATTCACATTCAGATCACAGAATATTAGATGACGGGTGTTTGAAAATGATCCGTTTAGGGGTGCCTGGCTGGCTCAGTCAGTAGAGGATGCGATGCTTGATCTCAACGTTGTAAGTTCAAGCCCCACGTTGAGTGTAGAGATTATTTTTCTTTTATTTTTATTTTTATTTTTTTTTAAAGATTTTATTTATTTATTTGTGAGAGAGAGAATGAGAGACAGCACGAGAGGGAGGAGGGTCAGAGGGAGAAGCAGACTCCCCGCTGAGCAGGGAGCCCGATGCGGGACTCGATCCC